GATTTTGAGCATTTCTTCATGTGTTTGTTAGCCATCTGAATGTTGTCTTCGGTGAAGTTTTCTCTATTGATTCTAACTCTGAGGGAAGTGTTCATTTTAGGCCAGGATCAGAGGTGTTCTGTCCTTGAACATTTTGGAGGAGTCAGATGAGAAAACTAGTCCTACTCCACACTTGGAACCTTTCCTGTGACATTCTAGGACCCCCTGTATCCATCCTCACCCTGTCCTCAAGTGAGTCCTGGAGCTCTTCAGGTGCAACTTCCCACTTTGATGACAGGAGTGCAGAACCATAAGTGCCCCGGGGAAGGGTAAAGTGCTACTTCTCAGAGTCTGCCCTGTCGGAGCATCCAGGGCAGATGACATGTGCTTTGGCCTGCTGTCCTCAGATTGCAGTTGAGGCCAGGAAAGGATAATGAGCTGAAAGACAGGCTTACTGGGGATGATGAGAGCCTAGTGCTGACTTCACTCACCTTCTGTAATTGTGTTGTGAGATGCCTTAAGGTGCTAGGAGAAGCATCACACTATAACTGTAATGAATGAAGTATAGAAATGAGAGCAGTGCATATGCCAGGCATGGGGACCATGGGAATGAAATGCGTTCCCTGTCCCCCTAGAGAGAAGATTTATGAAAGCAGAGACATGGATGTGGACAAAACTTCTAGAGCAGGTGTGTAGCAGGACTTGCTGTTCCTCAGTAGGTAGGGTTGAAAGACAATCATGTATTCCAAGGAGATGATCTTTGGGTCTATGACAGTTTTATGTCAGAACTAAGCCTATATGACGTATGAGCTTTAGACCTATGATCAGAGAAAGGAATGTCTCTGAAACCTAGATCCAACAGACACAGAGTTAGTGACAAGGGATATACTCCAGTGATAACACCCTTCTCTAGGTCTGAGGTCACAGTGAGAACCCTGACTGCATATTGGGATCCTGGGAAAAGGCCCGGCTGCTGTCCAGGGTCCCCGTTCTAGTATCTGTGCCTGTGATCTCTGCTGCCCCCTGGAGGCTGAGTGCACTCGTGCTGTGCTGCAGAGCTGCCTTGGTCCAGGAGCACGTCCTGCATCTGCTGATCAGCGTGTGATTTCTTGAATTCCTTTAACAATAAGCCAGTAGCCAGCTTATTGATCATGTATCCATCATGTCCAAGCAGAAGTCTGCCATTGTACCTGCCAATATTGCTTTTGTCAACCATTGCAGCTAGGTAAGTCAGGAGAAGCTCTCCTTCCTGATTTGAGACTTTTCCTTAGTGCTCGCTTGGGCAGCACATATACTAAAATTGGAACGATACAGAGAAGATTAGCATGGCCCCTGCGCAAGGAGACTTTTCCTTGAAGAAAAACAATTAGATAGATAGATAGATAGATAGATAGATAGATAGATAGATAGATAGATAACATATATAATTATCTATCTATCTATCTATCTATCTATCATCTATATCTCTAAATCTATTTCTATCTCTAGCTATCTATTTCTATCTCTATCTAACATTATATCATCTATCTTTATCTTTTAGATATATATGTATATCTATCTATATATCTTTCTAACTCTCTAAGCTTCACTTATTTTGCTTCTCTGGAAGCTTCAACTTAAAAGTCAAGTGATGACATCATCTCAAGATACTTAAAGAAGGGGTAAATTGTTTATATTCTCATCTGTGTACTTCGTGAAATCACATGTATACTTTTATATTTAAGGATGTAGGGGGAGAGAATGAGAGAGCCGGAAAACCCTAAATGATATGGTGCTGGAGCTCTGTGTTACACTTCTTTTTTGGAAGGTGATGACAAGATCTGCCATCAGGAAACTACCCCCATGCTTATAGCCATGAAGATGGAGGGAGGAGTAAGTACCTGCTGTCAGTGTGGTGTCTACTTGGGAGCTAAAGGAATAGAACCCAGAATCCACTGATTGAACACTAATTCACAAGGCCCTGGAGGCACCTCAAGCGAACTTGATCAGACAGGTGCAGGTAATCAAATGAGGTAGCAGCTGGTGAGTCCAGGAAATGCTCAACACCAGGGGAGCTCTAACTGTAGTGACCCCCCATTCTGGCCTTAGTCAGACAACGTGGTGCCCAGATCAGGCCCCTGTCCACAGGAAAATGCCATCACTACCTTAACTCCTAGTAACCTCACCTATCCTCTTGATACAGTTCCCAGAGGCCCTAAATTTAAGTGACAGTTGGAACTCTGCTGTCACGATGATTTTCCTTCCCTGGCATGAGAATGCCTCAGGCCTGTCACACCACCCAGTGTTCCATGAATGTATATGTCCTGTTTTCAGTCCCCATGTGGCCATTGTCCCAGATGGAAAAAGCACATATGCTCTGAGAAGGAGCCTGTGAGTAATGAGCTCATAGCCACCACCGTATGAGTCCTTCTGGAGCCCTGGCGGGGATGTGGCTGCTTGCAGTGGACAGATCAGAAGGCTGGAGTTCTTGAAAACTGTGAAAAAGTCTAGAGGACTCAAATGATTAGAGAGAATTGACAAGGGCTCTAGACTCCAAAACAAGATTTTTTTATTTCAAGCAGAGCAGGGAAGGGGGTGAATAAAGATGACCTGGGGGGAATTTGAAGGTTTAAGTCTCAATAGTTATGATAATATTTTTATTATTGTATTATATTGCAATGTATTAGAACAATAATTATTGTTATTATGTGTCATCAAGTCATAACAGACACACCACTGACCTTTTAACAGGTTTTCAGAGGCACTAAATCTCAAGGAGGGAGACTGCCCATCCTTCTCCTGCGGAGTAGCTGGTGGATTTGAACCGTGTGCCTTTGGGATTGCAGCACACATTCTTACCTTTGGTCACCAGAGCTCCTCCTTGAATATAATTATTAGTACTAAATAGCAGATATCTAAATAGAAGATTACAGGGATTGGTGAATGTTATATGTGCACAGTACACCATAGCAAAGAGTATATGCTGTACGTTTTCAGTTTCTTACAAGATAATCATAAGATGATGAGAGGACACATAGTTCTAGTAACTGGTAAATCATCAGACAAATTTTAAAAAAAGAAAGAAAAAACTCCAAAAAGTGGTCGAAATAGAAATAAATAAAAACCCTAAATAATCCAAACCTTAAATATGTTCTTATTTGCTTATTTCTCTTTGGGATCAATTGTAAAGATTTACCAAGAACACTGTACATGAAGACCCTGTGAGGACACCCTATTACCTGTAGCATCCGTTCCACCACAGAGGACACGCACTCTGGCTATGACGTGGTTTGATGTCATCCAGTCCACCATGATTCATGGAGACCGTACGACAGCAGATCTGAACATTGCTCCATCCTGCCCCATTGATTGTTGTAGTCACTATATCATCCATTGTTGGTGGTCATTCTCTCTCTGACTCTACACCTTTCTCAGCATGGTGGCCTTTTACAGTGACTGACCCCTTGTAATAATAGGTCAAGTTAAAAAAATATTTTTATTTGCTGGGTAAAAAAAAAACAACCAAAAAACAACACAACAAACCAACCTGAGAGATGGATTATATGAAGAAGAATGTGGCATCAGAATTGGAGGAAGGCTCATCAACAGCTACATTATGTAGAAGTATAGAAGACACAACCTTGCTTTTTCAAAGTGAAGACCTAAAGCATTACTGAAGATGATCAAAGACTACAGCCTTCAATATGAATCATAACACAACATCAAGAAAACAGAATTCCTCACCCCTGCACCACGGACTGCCAAAAGAACAAATAAATCTGTCTTGTAGGAAGTATAACTAGGTTGATCCTTAGAGACAAGGATGGTGAAAATTAATCTTACACAGTTTGGGATTATCAGGAGGCACCAGTTTGGGGAAAAAGACATTGTGTTTGGAATGGTAAAGGGGAATTGAAAAAGATGAAGATTCTCAACAAGAAATAATGAAAATCCAGTAAGTTACAACCAACTTCATCCATGCAATTGGACTGGGCAGATGGAGTGGGTGTGGCTAGAAGAAAACACCAAAGAATGAAACCTGAGGGCTTTTTCTGAACTTAGTGGAACTGAGGACTCCTTAGAGGTCCTGATGGTTGTCTTGGGGAAGTTGGGGAGATGTTTAGGGACCCGCGGTGAGTTCATTGGACTCACCTGGCTGTAAGGGACTGATGTCCTTAGCAGTGTCTGCTGTTATGCCTGTGCCTAATCTGTAACTGGGGCCTGAATTTATGATGATTTCACTGGGCCTGGCCTCAATCTGTGCTGTCACCTCAGAGATGTGACCCATTTCTAGATGTTTCCTTCCTTGATAACATGTCCCACGGGGCCCTGTGCCATCTCTTATCTCTCTTAACACTCTTTGACCAGCCTTAATCATCACATGTGGAAAATTGTTGTAATTCTAGTCCTTTAAAAAAGGAAGCCTAGTGAGGCAGTGGTTAAAGTATTCAGCTGTGAGGGACTGGATGGTTTGAAGTCATCAGTTGCTTCAAACAAGCAAAATAGTACTGTGTGTGTCTACAAAGACTGATAGTATGGGAAATCCCATGAGGCAGTTCATTCTGTCCCACAGTGTTGCTTTGAGTTGGAAGTAGTATTGAGTTAGGTGGAATCTTGGGGGCCTTTAGGGAGCTGGGGGTGATAGAAAGACCTGCTTCACTGACTCTGGCATGTGCCACAATCTAGAGGCCCAGGAAGTTGTTCTCATGTATCAGGAGATAAAGGCTGAGGTTTGAAAAGGTAGAGGGGCAGTGAAATGGAGGAAGACCCCTAACGGGCTGTGCTGACTCAGTGAGTGCACCGATGAGCATAAATGTGTCAGAGATGATGAGGACGATGAGGATAGGATAGGGTTCAGAGCTGTTCACAGGGTCATACTATGAGTCATATTCTACTCGACAACACCTAAGTAACAGCAAGTGAAAGTCTGTCCTGCTCAGTGTGATCTGGGGGAGAGACTGGGCGAGCCAGGCATGGTGGCAAGTTTCTGTCTCACTTCTCCATGTGCCTGTGTCTCTGTGACCAGCATTGCTGCCGTAAACCTGACAGTAATAGTCAGCCTCGTCCTCAGCCTGAGTACTGCTGATGGTCAGGGTGGCCGTGTTCCCTGAGTTAGCGCCAGAGAACCGATCAGGGATCCCGGAAGGCCGGTTTTTATCACTGTATATGACGAGTGTAGGGGACTGGCCTGGCTTCTGCTGGTACCAGTGAGTATATTTACTTCCAATGTTGTCTCCCCCACAGGTGATGCGGGCTGTCTCTCCCAGGCCCACTGATGCTGAGGGTGCCTGAGTCAGCTCATAGGAGGCTGCAGGGCCTGCAGGAGAGAGGAGAGTTAGAGTTACAGCTAAGGGGCTCAACCCCAGGAATCCACCTTCCCCTGAACTCAGGAAATCTGTGAACCCTCAGGATCCTCTCCCTTCTGCCCCTACAGGGCCCAGAGGTTAGGCTGGAACAGGGAGCCCTGGAGGAATGATAGTCTTCCACTGGGCAAAGGTGGTGTCTCCAGGGCTGCAGGTCCATGAGCATAGTTGCCCCCTGCAGGCTGGGTTTTTGAGCTCAGAGCCAGACCAGGCCTGTCAGGGTGGGAGAGGGAATAACTTGAGGCAGCACCTGTGCAATGAACAAGGAGGGTGAGGATGAGGGGGGTCCAGTTCATGGTGATGATGGTCAGAGACCTGCTTCTGTGAGGATGTTGGGTTTGGTCTCCCCCTGTGCCCAGTTCTCTTGTTGCTGAAGAGCCTTCAGTTATGCAAATCAGCAGAGCTCAGGACTGCCTGGAGGGAGCTGTGTAGTTGCAGAGAAGTCTGAACCCTAGGAACCCAGAGAGGGGAGGATGGGTCCTGCATGTCACCCTCAGTTGTGGGACCTCCCCCATGCTAGCTCACAATTCTGTACCAATATCTCCATGTCCACACTGTGTCCTGGGCTAACCCCTGGGTGGTCTGCTGGCCAGAGGGGAGATCTTTAATTATTAAAGACAGAATTCTGTGCCCAGGAGGGTGGTTCTGGGGTCTGTCCTGGAGGGAATAGAGAAAGAGTCACCATGTGGATGTTGGAGTTGTTCTAGTTTTGTAGGCATTTTCTTTGCCCATTCTGAGTTTGAGGGAGGTGTTCATTTTAGTTCAGGATCAGAGGTGTTCTGTCCTTGAAAATTTTGGGAGAGTCCAATGTGAAAACTAGTTCTACCTCTTTCAGTTTGACATTCCATCTGACATTTATGGACCCACTACATCCATTCTTCTCTGTCCCACAAGTAAGACCTGGAGCTCAGAGAGGTTCAAGTTCCCTACCCAGATGACAGCCAGGAGTGCAGAGGCACAGGTGTCCCCTGGGAAGGCAAGGTACTGTGTGTCCAGGGCAGGTGACAGGTGCTTTGTCCTGCTGTCCTCGGGGTGCAGTCAGGGCCAGCAAACGATGGTGAGCTGAAGGACAGGCTTGCTGTAGGAGCTGACGAGAGCCAACTGCAAAACCCGCTCACCTCCTGTGATTGTGTTGTGAGATGCACATAACTGCAAAGAACCAAGCGGCAGAAATTCATGAGAAATTCTTGAGGAATGAAATGTGTCTCCTGCCCCCTAGAGAGAAATTTTACGAAACCAGGGACATGGATGAAGGAGAAGCTTCTAGAAACTGTAGAGGGCAGATGTGGAACAGAACTTGCTGTTTCTCTGTAGTAGGGCTGGAAGAGGGTCATGTGTCCCAAGTACACAGTCTGAGTTCATGAATTTCATTGTCTAATCTAGGCTGATATGATGAATTGTCCTTGGACCTTGGATTAGAGGATCCAAGAGACACAAAAGTGGTGACAAGGGATATAAACTCAGTGAGGACACTTCTTCGGCAGGTCTGAGGTCACACATTAGAATTTCCGAGTAATGGCCTAGCTGCTGTCCTGGGCCCCCTTGTCCCAGAGTCTGTGCCGGTGGTCTCTGCTGCCCTCTGGTGGCTGAGCGCGCTCATGCTGTGTTGCAGAGCTGCCTTGATCCAGGGGCAGATCCTTTATCTGCTAATCACCGCTTGATTCCTTGAATTCCTTGAACCGCAAGCCAGCAGCCAGCTTGTTGACCTTGTCTTCGTCCCCTCCAAGAAGTCTACCATCTTGCTTTCCAATATTCCTTTTATCAACCACTGCTGCCATGTGAGTCAGGAGAAGCCATGAGTCAGCCTGCTGACTCCTAATTGGAATTTTTCCTTGAGAGAAATCTCTCTTAGTATAGATAAGATTCACTGGTTTTCTTTCTTTTGAGGACTAAACATAAAACCCAAGACATTAAGACATTAGCCCAAGGCACCCAAATAAGGCGTAATAGTTTATATTGCTATATGTGGACTTAGTGGAATCATGTGTACACTTTTATATTTGAGGAGATAGGTACAGAGCGTGAGAAATGAGAAAGTAAGAACACTCCAAAGGATATGGTGATGGAGATTTTGTGTCAAATATCTTTCCTGGAAGGTGGTGACCAGCCCTACCATCCAAGACCCTCCTCCATGCTTATAGCCATGAAGATGGTGGAGGAGGAGGGGGCAGGAGCTTGCTAGCTATTGGCACAGGTCCTTATTCCTGAGCTCCAGGAATAGAACCTAGAACATGTTGACCAAACTCTAACTACAAAGAACTGGCTCCACTCCTAACAAACTTGATCAGACAAGTGCAAGTAATTAGATTGTAGGGTATGAGGTGGCTGATTCTGAATCCAGAATATGCTAACTGTGGAGGAACTTTGACTGTATTAAATCCCCATTATGGATTTACTTGGACAACATGAGGCTCAGACCAGGCCCCTGTTTTCAGGAAAAGGGTCCTCACATCATTAACTCACAGCGACCTCACCTCTCCTCTTGACACAGTTCCTCTGAGGCCCTAAATGTAAGTGACAATTGGATCTCTCCTCTCAGTAGAATTCTCCTTTCTTGATGTGAAGAGTCCCTAAGGCCTGTCATCATCACCTGGTGTTCCAGGAAGGTCTCTGTCATGTTCCCAGCTCCTGTGTGGTCACTCTCCCAGCTGGACACACCGACCCTCTGAGTAGAGGAGCTCACAGCCACCACCCCATGAGTCCTCCTGTAGCCTTGGTGGTGGGTGTTGCTGCTTCCAGTGGACAGATCAGAAGGCTTGAGTCCTTGGGGACTGAGAAAAAGCCTAGTGGGCCCAAATGATCTGAGAGAGCTGCAAAAGACAAGATTTTTTTCCATTTTAAGCAGAGCAGGGAAGGGAGGGACTAAGGATGAGCAGGTTGACCTGAGGGGAGTTTGAAGGCTGCAGGCCCCAAAATGCTGGGTCCCCAAGGTGGCTTTCTAGAAGGAATCACAGTCCATCATTGAAGAAGAGGGACAGTGAGTGTCTCTGGAACCAACTACACAGGAGCCTCCCTCGTGCATCTCTCCCAGACCCACGGCTCTCCTGGGAGTGTGATGAGCCCAAGGTTGAAGGGTTCATGCTCAGGTGGTCCCAGGCCATGAGAAAACTCCCAAGCTAAAGGGTGCTTCTGCAAGCAGGTTTCATATACTCAACAGTGAAATATCACCTGTCTAAAAGATGAATTAAGAAAGTGAAAAAGCAGTCTGAACCAGAGAATTGTTCAACATCACATATTGAATTTTTCTGCTGGATTGGAAAAATAATAGAAAATAAGGCTTTCTGTTATTGTTGAAACAGGAACCAAAGTATAATTATGTTTGGAAGAAAACTAGTACAGCTTAAGAGAAGATATGTAAGAGTGGAAAATGACAGGGTTAGGAGAACATCACATATGCGGAGTGTATGATTAAGTAAAGGTAAGTGATGCATTGTTTCAGTTTAGTACAAGATAGTCATAAGACAGTTGTGTTGTTGTTAAGTGTGTCAAGTTGAGCATGACTCATAGTGACCCTGGGAAAAACAGGTCTCAGCTCAGACTAAACCTGTGCCATCTTTATCATTTCTGACACTCTTGACCCATTGCTGCATTTACTATGTCAATGTTAATCAATCCTTCATCTTTTTCTTAAATTTTTTTATTAAATTCAACAAAAATTCACAGAGACTTTGGATTTCCACCCATTCATTGTTGCACTTTTGTCCCCTCCCAACCCTTCCCCCCAGTACACTCCCCTCTTGGAAAAGTAAAAGAAAAATTCTTTCATTGTTTTACAATCCCTCCCCCCCAGGTCCACTCCACTATGCAGCCTTCACTCTGGACTCCCATCATGACAAAAATACCTAATTACATATCCCTTTCAAACAATTTTCTCCTCATCTGTTTCAAAGCCATATACATTATTGAACCCATCTTTCTCAGTCTCCGCACAAACCCGATGTCAGTCCTGTTTTACAACAGTGGCAGCTCCTATATATATCTCTGTATGATTTCAATAAAGACTTGATTGGAAAAAAAAACAAAACAAAACAGTGGCACCATGCAGTATTTGCCCTTTTGTGACTGAGATACTTCACTCAGCATAATGTCGTCCAGGGTCACCCATTTTGAATAATATTGCGTGAGTTTCTTGTTTTTCAATGCAGCATAGTATTCCATTGTGTGAAAATACCACAGCTTCTCTATCCATTCGTTTGCTGATGGGCACTTAGGTTGTTTCCAACTCCTTGCTATTGTGAAAAAAGCTATGATAAACATGGGTGTGCATATATCTGCTTGTGTGGGAGTTATGCTCTCTTTGGGGTATATTCCCAGCAGTGGAATTGCTGGGTCAAATGGTATCACTATTTGGTTGCACCATTTTACACTCCCATCAACAGTGAATAAGGGTTCCAGTTTCTCCACAACCTTGCCAGCATTTGTTGCTTGCTGTTCTGTTAAATTTTGCTCTTCTTACTGGGGTGAGATGATATCTCATAGTTGTTTTGTCAGCCCTTCATCTTTGCAAGCATGATGTCCCTCTCCAGGGATAGTCTTTTCTAGCAACATACCCCAAAGATGTAACATGAAGCTGTGTCTTCTTTGCCTCCACTGAACACTCTGGCTGCATTTTCTCCCAAACCCCTGTGTGTTCTTTTGGTAGTCCATGAGCTGTTCAGTACTCTGCTCCAACACCACAGAGATTAGCATTGCTGCTCCTGCTTACCTTTTTTGGGTGTTATTTGTTTGATACCATTTTTTCTACTCTTTTACTTTTAGTCTATCTTTTTTCTCATTTCTTTTATGTGTTTCGCACAGACAACATATTGATAAGTTTTGGTATTTTATTCATTCTACTACTCTTTTTCTCTTAATTGCTGCATTTAATCCATTCACATTAAGTGTGATTATTGACAAGCCAGATTTTATTACTGCCATTTTGCTGTGTTTCTTCTTCTGTTGTTTCTGGTTACTATGGTCTATCCATTTGCCTTTGGTGTCTGTCTGACTTTTCTTAGAATTTCTTGTAGAGGTGATATTGTTTTCACAAATTCCTCAAGTTCTTGATTGTCTGAAAATGACCGAATTTCTCTTTCATATTTGATGGACAGCTTTGTTGGGTACTGGAGCCTCAGCTGGAAATTGTTTTCTTTCAACCTTCTGTATGTGCCATCCCGTTTTCTTTTTGCTCACATGGTTGGTTTCTGCTGAGAAATTAGAGCTCAATCTAATTGTTCTCCTTTGTAGGTGACACTTTGTTTTTCTTAAGCTGTTTTGGAGAATTTGACTGATATGTCTTGAGGTTTTTCTTTTGAGG